TCGTAGGTACTTTCTTTAACGCGGCTAATAAGAGAAACGAACGGACGTATAGACGAACGCTTTGAGCTTCGGGAATTGGATTGATTCTTCGGGTATAATTTCCGGGCGTGACCGCGTGATCCCCTTTGTCGGCCCGCGAAGCGGTAATCCGCATTTTGTCGGAAACGGAAGTTTTTTATTAGGGATAGAACCGCACACCGTCGTTCGTTTTCTTGTCTCTTTTACGACAGTCATTAATCGCGGTTGGCTTTTTTTTTTTGGTGACTTACGATGATGGCACAAGAAAAGGCTCGTTCGATTCCCGCAGTATAATTGCTACCGCTTCTAATTGGCATGTTTAAAAAAATTAATTGTAATGAATGGGGGAGAATGCTTTAATAAAAGACGATTCGGAAATTTCACGTTCGATTTCGCACAATTCAGCCGACTGATAAAAAGGAAAGGTAGTAGGCAACTGAACACTGGCTTTTTTAATGGCGTGGTTGTAATAGGTTAAACGTTGAATGGTGCTGAGGGCGTCTACGTAGGATTTCCGATTTCGTTTTTTTTGTTATCTATATATGTAAGTTCGTCGCTGTTTTGACAATTTTTGAATGTTTATGCTTCCTAGGGTTCCCATGTGGTCCGAAATAAAAAAAATATTGTCCTTTACGTTAACCCATCCCATTTGTAATATAAGTTATCTATATCTTAGTGGCATGGAGCTTTTGGTATTAAACAATTAACTTTTAATAAAAATGAGAAAGGGCGGGAGAACTATTAGGGGAAGATCAATTTGGGTGTAGAAGAAATAGAGGAATGCGGGAGGCCATTCTAGCTTTACGGGTAGCAATAGAGAAAACGATAGAAAAAGGAAAGAGTGCGTACATAGGATTTGTAGATTTAGAGAAAGCTTTTGACAATGTTAAATGGGACAAGATGTTAAATATACTTAAAAATGTAGGGATGAATTACAAAGATAGAAGAGTGATACTTAGTTTGTATAAAGAGCAACAGGCAGTTATAGAGCTGGGGATGCAACGTAGAGAAGTAAATATTAGGAAGGGAGTCAGNCGATTTTTACATTAAAAACAGTGAAAATAAAATAATTACCTTATGAGTTAATGTTACTTTTTGCTACTACCCTTATTTCTTGTTAACCGTACGCGAAAAATTGCTTGTAAATATTCATATGTAACCGAAAATAAAATGAATTTGGACTCTTGCAGCATGTAATACACAGAAAGAACAGGGACTTCAAAAAGTGAATAAATATACATCCAAAAATCGTCCATTTACCAATTAATAGACTCCACATAAAGGTCAGAAGTGAAGAGACATTAGAAAGAATAGGAGAACAAAATAGACGAGATATGTTGGTAGGACACCTTCTCAGACATGAAGGTCTAGTCACAGACATATTAGAGGCAGAAACAGGAGTTAGGTTAGGTTAGAAACAGAAGTTAGAAGGGATAGAGGCAGACCTAGGTTAGATTACTGTTCGCAAATAATTAAGGATGTGGGCTGTTCTAGTTTTAGGGAAATGCGAAAATTAGCTCAGGATAGGAAAGAGTGGAGGTACGTGTCCAACTAGTCTTAGGACTGACGACCTTATGATGATGATGATGAAATCGTAATAATTATAGTCACAACTTCAATTACTTCTAAATATTAGCTTATAATTGCGTTTATTTCTGTATAAAGGGCTTCACCAAGTAAAAGCAGACACAATATCGCTATTTTTAACTGAAAGCTACTTATAGTATCCCAATGAAGGCAGCACCAGATAATAACGTTCGTATTAACTGAACTTAATATAATCTTAGCATAAATGAGTAGAACGTAACGAATTTGATTTTATTTTTACGTATTTGAATAGATTTTTTCCATTTATGGACCACTAAAATTAAACATTAAAACATTTGGTAGGCGAAAATTTAACATAAGCTTAGCTACCTTCTCAGTTTTTTAGTCGGCTCCTTAATAATTAGTTAGTTTAGATATAAAAGTGGGTTCGCTTTTCGGCAAGGCTAAATTCAATTCAGAAGTTAAAATGTGGATTAGTATTTCTAAGAGAATCATTTATGAAAGAAATTCCAAACTCTATGTGATCCTCAATATCAAAAGTCAATAAAGCCCGTATAAGGCCCTGCGAAGTTATTTCTTAATAATGACTTCTACCAGTCTTCTAGTCATCTCGCGTGTATTATGAACTTATCAAAATCAAGCTGTTCTTTCTGGATCTCATAGAGACGTATTTAATAATAAAGTTTCTCTAAGAGTTAGGCAGTGGTAAATAGTACCTGTTTGACACCGATTCCCTTGAAGGAAAATAACTTTGACAGTTAAGTTTTGTTTGGAATTGGGTTTGGGACATGACATCAAAAATCAGTGTAAAGCCACTTTTATTATAAAGATCGGCCACTAAAACCAAACAGATCGTTGTAAAGTACGATTTTTATGTAATTTTCGCTAAAAATGATTTTGAAAATAAATATATATACAACCGCTGAGGGTAATCTTTCGGTAGATCATGTTTAGCATACGTCTATCGGTAATCTTTGTAATATTTATTTAACATCTGCTGCAGTATTGTGAAAAATGTTCCCTATTATTTTTGATTGTGGATGTCTAATTTTTGCATTTTAAATAATAATATATACCAAAAACGGATAACTTATTGTTAATTTTAATTTTCATATTGTTCAATCCCAAGAACCGAATGTTATTTAGAATAGGAAACTTACTTTACAAATCAACAGGAATTAATATTAAGATAAAGACGTGAACCTTGCAGAATACTTTCTTTTTTAATTCAAACCCTTTTTCACATAAATAGCATAAAAATTGAAAAATTTTCAAAACAAGCCCCATCCGATGTACATACAGTATCTTTCAGACAGGCTATGGAAATGGATGCAATAGAAGAGGAAAAAAATATAATTAAATAAGAGTTGTATTAAATAATGTCTTCATGGTCAGAAATTTTAGCATAATATCAGAAGTATTTAATGGCAGAGTACGTACGTTGTATGTTGTAAAAGATTTTAAATTGAACAGGTAGTTCATCATGATAACAGCCTAGACTTCATTTGTTTTTGATGTTTATTTCATTTGACTGATTCCCATATTTCAGGACAGCTTTTAGTACCAGGTAGCACATTGCGCTCTTGTTTATTTTTAAGAAGGAGCACGACGTCCGGTGCCTCCACCACATTTTAAATATGCTGTGAATTTCACATGCAATGCAACGCACTATGAAAAGATGGTGTGTCTATTCTGTATAAAAGAAACTTTTCGGTTTTTCATTCCCACCAGCCACTAATGCTGGTAGGCGGGCAATCCCTTCGGACTATGCTGGAAGGTAGGGCGATAGGCCCTCTTCAGCCTCCCATCAGGATTCGTGGGAATATGTGGGTGGTGGCTCGGGTAAGAAAGATGAGATGTGCGAGTCGAGAACAAGCGTTAAAGCCTTTAATATGTTTTCAAATATAAATAAACATCTCGTTGATATTTTCAGTAGTAATTGGTACCAATAACAGCATATTTGAGTAATGCAATTTTAGTGGATAAAATGGTCAATTTTTCCGTGCAGTACTGTACGGATTATACGCTCCTCACCGGTTAAGAGTTTGGCCGAGAGTTGTCTCCTTCCTTTTCTGGCCTAGTGCTGTTCTTTTCTACTTTGCGCC